AATGCAAATGTCTTATATGCATCGCAAAAATATCTGATATGCATCGCAAGACTTTTTGAGAATATTGCAATATGAAAGTTTTCAGATTAGTTGTCGTTTCATCTCATGATCATATGAAATCATGCCTTACATTTATATCATGATATTTATGTTGAAAGTTCATATCTCTTGTCGAAATGATAATTAGCTTTTATCATTCGACTTGAAAATAATTTTCATAGCTTGAAATTATGAGAAATACGAAGTTTCGTATTTGCTCATGCTTATAGAAAATAACGATAAGTTCAACGGATAGAACTTATCGGTTTAGGCTTGAATTCAAAGAGATTGAATTCAAGAGTTTTTATCTTCTCATTATATGGTATGTAGATAAGGGGAGTTATGTTTAACTCCATCATCAATTGATTGTCATCATCAAAAAGGGGGAGATTGTTGAATCTCATATTTTGATGATGAAATCAATTGATAGGTTAATTGATCTAATCCATATTATTGAGTTAAGTATGCAAGATTAACTACGATAGCTTAAAGATATAAAGCAAGTCTACTGGAGTCAAGTTTGATGGGTGTTCGAGAGTCCGCCAAGAGTCTGAAGATTCGTTGGAAGTGCTGCCGGAATCAACCGAGAAGAAATCGGGGACTTACCGAAGTTTTCGGAAGTCCACCGAAGAGATCATCGGAGGTTCGCAGAGATCACCGAGAAGGTTCACCTACTTCCCAAAGACTCGCTGAACTCGCCACAGGACCGGGAGCCTGCTAGGAGTCCGCCAGAAAAAATCCGAGGGTGTATCGGAAGTCCGTTGGAAGTTCGCCAAAAAGCTCGCCGAAAGGAAACTCGACATTGCTTGTTAAAAACTTACTTAGGACTATGTTTTAATTTTATAATTTACATATAATTAGGGTTAGGATTAAGGATTAATCCTATAACCTGGTTAGGGGCCAATTGGGCCCTAATATAGACTGGTTTGGGCCAAATTAGGAGCCCAACCAGTGACCCATAAGGTCGGGCGGTGGCACTGCCCAGAACCCGAAAGGTCAGGCGATGGTACCGTCGGACTAGGTGGTGGCACCGCCCAGAACCCGAGAGTTCCGGCCATGGCACCGCTAGTACACTGTCAGTGTCAGACACTGATAGGCAGTGGCACCGCCACTGACAGGCAATGGCACCGCCAGCACCGAGAAACCCAAAAGTAATTCAAATTTGGAGCCCAAATTTGAATCCTCTTAGAGCCTATAAATACCCCTCAATTCTCCGAAGTTAAATATTAAGATAAAGTCTTAGCAAAGTCTTTAGCAAGTCTTGTTTTCAATAGCTTAAGTATTCACCTCCCTCTTTCTCTTTGAAAATTTGTAAGAGTGTGAACCACTTGTAAAATGTTGTAAGAGGGGTATTTGTCATTCCCCTTTAAATTTATTTGCTAGTGGAAGTTGGGAGCCTCATTGAAGAAGGCTTCACAAGTGGATATAGGTCATTTGACCGAACCACTTTAAATTGATGTGTTCCTTAAATGTATGAGTGTTTACCTTTCTGAAACCGTTATTTACATAGCAGCAAGCTTTTGGTTTTCATCTCCTTACTTTACTCAAGCTACTTTTACCAAGTCATTCTTTATCGAATCGAAATCTCTATGCATTTACGAAATCATTTTTAACTTACAAGTTTTAATCCGCTGTACTAATTCACCCCCCCCCCCCCTCTTAGTGTCGCTCCGATCCTAACACCATTTCTCTTGGGTATTAAACCAAATGAGAAATATGAGGCTCTGATACCAATTGTTAAGATCAAGAGCGGCACTAAGAGGGGGGGGTGAATTAGTGCAGCGGTAAAAATTACATCGGTTCAAAACTTCATTGCGATTAAATCTATTTTCGATGAAAAATCATTTCATATAGGTATTAACTTTAAAAGTGTACAGAAGAATATAGTGGATGTAAAGCAATTAAAGTGGTTTGAAGTAAAGTAAATTGTATAAGAGAAATACAAACTAGAATTTTATAGTGGTTCGGTCATCGTGACCTACATCCACTTCGATGATTCCTCTTCCGTCGAGACCACCGGCATCTACTATCAGTCTTCTTTCAATGGGCGAAGACCAACTACCCTTTTACACCCCTCTTCTCCTTTTCACAAGTTTAGGAGATAATCTTTTACAACCCTCATTTACAAGGTATCCCTCTCACACCTCCCTTAGAACTCTCTCTAAGCTTTGGGAGGAGAGAACTCAACTTTCTAAGGTTTACAACTTTAGAATTATAGGGTTTTGCTCAATATTTCTTATTTACCCATGTAGGAATAGCTAAGATATTTATAGGCCCCAAATGGATTCAAATTTGGAGCCTAAAATTCAAACCCCCGAAATTTTAAGGTACGGGCGGTACCATCGCCTACAGCCTGACACTGGATGGTATCACCACCCAGACTGGTGGTACCACCGCCCAGACAATCTCAGAGACTGAGTCTAGGTGGTACCACCGCCTGACACAGTCTCAGAGACTATGCCACGATGGTTTCACCTGTTTGGTTACTGTTTGGGCCTTTCTCTTGGCCTAACACTACCCAAACTTGGCCCAACTGTCCCTAATTGGGTTAGCCCAATTCTAATTCCTATTATATGCTAACTATGAATTTTAAGATGTTTACTAAGCTAAACAAAATTCGTAAGTCTAGGTTTCTTCCGACGAACTTCCGACGATCTCTAGGCAATGTTCCAGTAGACTCCCGGCAAGCTCTTGGACTTCATGATGATCTTCTTGGCGAGTTCTGATGAGCTTCTTTGGCAAGCTCTGGGACTTCTCGGTCAATTCCAACAGAACTTCTGATGAACATCCGGACTTCCGATGAACTCTCGAACTCCCAACGAAATTGCGTTCTTGACTCCAGGACTTCATTTTACTTTATGCCTTGCTATCGTAGTTAATCTTGCACATGTAAAAATATACTTTGATTTAGATAATTATTACTAAGCATGAATCATATTGTCCGACATATCATTGGTCCATCGATGCTTCGTCCGATTCTTCGACTCATTGTCCTCTCTTGCGGCCTATTGCCCAATCGGTCTGTTGACCTCTGCAACTCCAATATCTTTGACGTAATTTCTGCTCTTCTTAGCCCGATGCCCGATGCCCGAATCCATAGCCCGAAGCCTTCTGTTGATACATCATCCGATCCTCCGACTAGACATCTAATATTCTGACATCTTTCATCGGCCCAACATGATTCTTCCTGCTTTAATTGTCTCATCCTGATCGAAGCATCATGCATCACTCAAAACATAGATCAATTTATAAACACTTATTAATTGGTTTCATCATTAAAATTTGAGATTCAACAAAATCTACTAACTCATATTATAATATTCCATGGTTCAAAATGGTTATCTTTTTCACTAAGGAGATCTTATAAATACATATTACCACCCTTGTGGCTATGATATTATGTGAAGAAAGGGAGAATCACATAGTGTAACCCTTTCTTAAATAGTAGTAACAAGGTACTATTAATCCAAGATCAATCCAAATAGAAGAAGAATAAAACAAAGCGGAAAAAAAAGTTTTTTTGAACTTCTCGAAAAGAAAATACTTATAGACTTAGACTTAGAGTTAAATATTTGAGGCTTCAATTGATCTACATATAGATACAACCGATTTATATAGATATCACCTAACCTTTATAACTCTAACTAATTTTATTTGAAATCTTTTAAAATCTATTTTAAACTAAAAATTTCTTATCCTTAAAAGTATATCTAATCTCATTTAAAATATAAAATATTAATTTATAATCTTTCAAAATATATTTTAATTTCTTAACTAAAGTCTCATCTTCAATCCTTCTTTACTATCCCAAGAGTAGAAGGCAATGAGCGGTGATCAGTTTCACAGAGTAGCTGTTGTTGTGTCTTGTTGTTGTGTCTGCAGTGTAGTGCAGACTTTGTTGCCACGGATATATGTGTGCGGCAACATGGCAGGCTACTGCGTTATCTCTGACATACTTCGCTGGACACCTATCATGGTGGTAGCTGAAGCACCAATCCACGTTTTATGGCTGGACCACCATCTGGATATCTCCATGGATGCATGCATGATTACCTTGTCATTTTTTCTTGACAATGTCAGCCAAATGTTTTGAGTTTTCCTCTTCCTTTCATCCTTTCATGCGAGCATATATCTGCCTCAATGCAGATGGATCATGAAACCATCGAAGGAAAGATGAGCGAAAGAAAGACAAGATTGCTTGTGCTGGTTTACATCAGATGTTTACCGCCTAAAATATAGTAATATGATACCATGCCAAGAACAGAGTAGCTCACGATGACGGTAGAAGCTCACTGGTCCGCATCGATCAATGTAGCAAGGACAAAGACGTGCCACCAAAATCACAATCTGTAATGGGGATCGAAAGCGATTGTCGCCCTGAAGTATTATTTTCATGAAGAAGATTTTTTCCGTATTAGGAATTTAAATAAGATTTTCCAGCATTGTTAAACACCTCGGCCAACAGTACCAGAGTTGTCTTGCCCCAAAATGCAATATGGATTGGGTGGAACAACGCAAGAAAGGAAAGCAAAACAATGCTCACAGTTCATAGCATTTTGCTGTTAATCCTCTGCCATGGTGCATGTTTGGAGTTTCTTACAATTTCCCACAAGACAACAAAAGCAAACAGAGTCCAACTAGGAATTATTCGTAAGATCCTCAAGAAGGATCTCTCCAAACTTTTGAAACAAGGATTTGATCATCCCCCAGAACTAAGAAGCTCATCCAAGCTTTGAGGAAACACTGGTTGGGAACTGAGGATGCAGGTGTTTACATTGTCGAACTCCTCAGAGAAAAGGTCTACAAAGGGAAGATCGGGATTGAACGGAAAAGTCAACTTGCCAAAGCAATCCTCAGAAAGGAAAAGAAGAAGAAGAAAACAGAACCAAGCGTATCTATCACTCTTCTCCTTCTGAAAACATGATCAAGTAGTTCAACCATGCAAAAAAGTTTGCGATGAGAGGAGCAAAAGAACCTGAAGATAAACACTCGTGCAACGAAAAACATGATGCAAATGGTGATCTTTGGAGTGCTGGGGGATAACAGGCCTGGTGTTTTAGAACAAGATCCAGTAGTTGGGAACTGAAGTCTAGCTAATCTTTTATTATTTTCCACAGAGAATTTGATGCGGTTCCTCACATGAATTCTCTGAAAGCAGAGTTGAGCTTCTTCACTATGTCTTTGGCAGTCATCGAGAACTCCTCTTCGGTCTGCAAAAGAAGACAACACAACACAGGAAGGTCATCAAGTGCTCAAACTGGACCGACGGATTAACTTCATGCTGAGTCTTGCCTGAGTCATCACAGTGATGTCGAGAGAAGAGCCAGCGAAGGGCATGACGCTCGTGTTCATTACAGAAAGATGGAGCTTCTCGATCTCGCACAGTGCTTTCACCAGTACTCCTTTCCGGTTCTCGCAATGAATCCTGATGAGGATGGTCTTCTCGCACACTCTGGCCTCGATCTCTGGGAGGGACTCGCCGCTTTGGCGTTCGTTGAAGTTCTCAGTACAGGAGGAGCTATCATCATCAGCACACAGCTGATATTTCTTGACGAGTACCGCTGACTCAACATTCCTCTTTGCAACTTGGTCTTCAAGGGCCTTGACATTCTCTTGAAGCTGCTTCAGGTACTTGATAGCATCGCTAAGAACAGACGCCTTGTCCATCTTCCCAGGAGCAGGAGACATCAAGAGAGATTTTGTCAGCTTTGTTGCGGCACATTAAAAGTAAAGGATGCATCGATGGAGAATGTACCTTCTTTAGGCCGGGAACTACGGCGGATAGCTCTATGAATCGTTGGCTTAGCTTCTCTCTACGCTTCCTCTCAGCCATTATGTGTTCCTGGTTATGAGAGGCTGACCTGACCCCCGTGTTCCCGCTCTTCGTTCCATCGCCGAACATGGTGTCGTAGTTCCTCTTTGAGCCTTTAGGAATCGACCCATCCGTCTCTTCTTTCGTCTTCCCCGTCGCAGCTTGACTGCCATACTGACAGATGGGCGACTCCGGGTTGCCAAATGACAGAATTCTCGGACAGGACGCTTCAGGAGCCGAGTTCTGCTCGGTCGCGCAGGATTTCCAGCTGCTAGTCTTGATGAGTTTATTGGGTCGAACAGTGCTCGCTTGCGGGTGGGAGGAAGGGTATGAGGTGTAGCTCTCGGAGGAAGGAGACTGATCTAGATCTCGCCCAAGGGCCACTGGTGTACTGTAGTGATCCAAAGCAGTCAAGTCCCACTGATTGAAGAAACTGTGATCCATTCCCTGTCGATGGTACAAGAAAGGAGCTTAAGCGCATTCTTTTGGTACTCTGGTACTCTAGCTAAAGGACTTCACCTGGGGCTCCTTACCATGTCAGAGTAGCCTGGAGATGGTAATGCTTCCATGTTGCCAGATTCTTGCTCTGAGAGAGGAACCGATGGAACCTGAATCAAGGTAGACCTCTACAGGATCAAATTAATACCATCAAGTTACTCTACAGAACATGCTCTTTTCAAGAGCCAAGAGAAGGAACTCTATCTTGATAAGCTACTAGACATCAAAGAAAACAAAGAACCAGCAGAAAGGAGGAAGCTAAAGACTGCTCCGACAGTGTTGAGATGGAGGAGGAAAGCCAACCTGCAGGAGCAAGTTTGAACCCTTCAGTTCTCTAGATATGAAAGAGCAATCTTCTCCTCCTTGTATCTATATTTGTGCTAAGCTTCTTGGGTACCCTGAGCGTTCATACTTCGTCTACCACTGTTCTTATGGAGGCTTTTGGGCCCTTTTATAAGACTTGGAGACCTGCATCTTTCCTTCTAAATCTATAATATTTATATGTTTTTAGCAGGCAGCTACAGTGTCAACAAAATTATTTCTTCTTTAGGGGGAAGAATAGATACGTGTTATAACATTTACCAATCGAATCAACTTTGCGACCAATGAGTCGGAAGATGATATGACAGGCAGCCCCATCGCTGCAAAGTTACAGAAGTCTCTGGCTCCCAAGCTATCGTCTTCTCCATGACCACTCATCGATGGATGCGATTTGCATCTATCTGGTAAGTCATCCGCTACAGCTAATAAAGACACAAAACAGGAGCCCTCCCTGCCATCCACCACCTCCGGTTGCCTGCTGTATCACCAACATGATGATATATTGCCATAAATAGCTCCTGGTTGTAGCTGAACTCATGGCAAACAAATGATTGGTGCTTGTGTAGATTTACTAAGGAAAAGAAAAAAGAGAAGAGAACACATAAATCAAGTTGACTCGTCAACTTCACTGCGATTTCGTTTCCCTTACACAGGAAGGCGTTTAGATCAGGAAAGGAGAGGAAGAGGCATAAGAAGAAATCGAGTGCGACAAAGACGACCAGTTTCACGTGGACCTATGCATTAAACAATACCTTTAGTCCACGAGGGTTAATGGGCTATCATCAGAGGGATTGCATACGTGTATGTGTCCCATAGTTCACACTCTGATCCAAAATAAGTCACCATCACAAATAAATGACAAGAAAGATCAGCACAAGTGCAGTGAATTGGAGCTGCAGAGCAGAACAGTGAAGAGAAGGAGGTCCATTTGTTTTCCTAGTTCCTGTTCAGGATTACATATAGTCAAATCCATCAGAATCCCAAAGTTTTTATGCCCCAACTCAGCCTGCAACAAAGCTGGAGCTGCCATTTTTATGCATCTCGGCGTTTTGGGATGCCTCGCAGTCACGTATTATATAGCCAATTATTGCTGCTCACTTAGGCATCACAAACCCTATCTAATAAACTACTTCATGAAGCAATAGACTGCCGAGGTGAAGATATAAATATATACTGCAACTTGCTGCGATCTTTGTTATGTATAACTATCTCCTGCTGATCCTTTTTGAAGTTTTATCAATGCATCTCTGGCGTTCGATCCTTGCATCGGAGACAGCCCAGCTCAACCATTCCCTGCATCTCACCATATCTGATATTATAATATGAGGAACCAACGTTGCCAACACTTGGAATCCGACTCAAGACAGTGACTTATCCTCACGTGACAAGAAGCTTTAGCATCATCTGCTTCGGAATCCAAAGAGATGGGAGGTTGCTCATTCAACATAGGGAAGCCCATACGAAGCTGACAGCAGCAATGATGTTAGACAGGGATCCAGTGGGATTCTCTCGAGGCCGGAGTTACTATTTAAAGATACCCGAGATCTTTCCAACAGTAGTCCTGTGCCTCAAGAACAGAGCATCTTTTCTTCTCTGATGTTAATCCTTTTGAGTAAACAAGGCTGAGTTCAGAGCTTGCCGGGACTGTGAAGCGAACCAGCGATCGTAACGAATCTATCGGTCGTCCGTCGGATCGTCGGGAGACCAAAGTTGGCAGCAGTGCTGCAACTCATGGCAATCGGGTGGGTGAACTCGAAGATGCTTCGTGACGACTCCGGCACTCGGTTAAGATTAAATCCAAGCATGTGAGATCTCGAGATCGATGAGGCAATATCTGCACAGGATTCCATAAGTTCACGTGGGTGGCTTCTGTGGACATTACACCAACGACTAATTGTCGACCAAATCTCGTCTCGCCACAGGGAGAGCTAATTGCATACGTGATGAAAACGTTGATCGATTCTGCCTCGTAAGAAAAGGTCATGGGATCAAAGGTTCAGAAGGCCACAGCCCAAACGCCAAGCGGGAAAGAAAAGTCAGACGTGGCGTTGACCGTGTCACAGCAAACACAAGGGAAGGAACTGCAGCATCTTAATGGTTCCATCGAGCAGGGCATTTCCAGTATTGGTTTGCAAGGGCTGGATGTTATCGTGTATAGGTTTGGTTGTTTGGCGATGGGGATGGGGATAGGTTTGGTTGTTTTCTCAGAAGTGGGCCACTGGATTACAGTTTGTGAGGGTGCCAATTCGCCGGCCTTTGCTGTAGGAAGCACTTGCAGGTTGGCAATGGTTGGGGGACGAGGTGGTCAAATAGGGTGTTGAGTTCATCAAAATATAGATTTTGTTCCTTTTCGATGACTGCAGTATTTTTTTTGAGTTGGTCATCGAAGTTAGATCCTTTATTAAATGCTTCACAGTGTTACAGGAATAAACTCCTACGTGTTTTTGTCTTTAATTGTTATCTTTTTTTTTTCTTAATTAAGATATATGATTTTCATGGTTGGGGGGGGGGGGGGGGGGGGGGGGGGGGGGGGGGGAAAATCCCCAAAAAAAAAAAAAAAACCCCCCCCCCCCCCCCCCCCCCTGGGTTTAAAAACCCCCCCCAAGCAAAAAAAAATTTAAAAAAAAAAAATTTTTTTAATTTAAAATTGGGGTTTAATTTTTTTTTTCCAAATCCCCAAAA